CGCGCGCGAGAGATAGGATGTTAGCTGCTTATGCGTGGTGTCAATCGGGCTGTAGACAACACAAGAATTCGGCGATATGCCACAGGAGGACTTTCTTTAGGAAATGGTCCGTATTTAGGAATTAGACACGTGAAGAAAATCCGGAAAACTCCACATAGTTAGCCCGTTGGTCAGATGCGAACCCGCGATCAGTGTTCAGTTTGTTTGTTTAGATATGGCAACATAACACTTGGGCGATCTGTGTTTCTCAACGGGGGCGATATCGCCCCCCGTTGAGAAACACTGGTATATACGAACGAAAGACAAGTGATTTTTTTCAAAATTAAAATTTGCATCCCGGCATTGTGACCATATTCTCTTTCTATAAGTTGATATTTAGATTCAGATCTGCTCTCCACTCTTTAAATAATAATAATAATAGTAGCAAACATTTTTTAAAAATTATACATTGTTAATCTTAATGTTTTCAGTGAACATACCTTGTGATGAGTTGCTAACAATATATAAGCTACAGCAATTAAAAAGAATTGAGCCAACACGTACAAGCAACACCAAAATTCCAACTTCGGATTGTATTTATCGACGGGATACGATACCTGCAGAATTAAAGGGCATTAAATTTTATCAAATAAAATATTTTATATAATTAAATTTACATTTGGTATGTCTTCCGGATCTCCGTGCCACGGTTTTCCCGGCTTCCATCCGGGTCCTTTTATAACAGTGAATAATTTGTTTTTAGCTCCTTTGGCTTCCCAGAAGGCATTCCATAAATACAGGAGATGGCCAAACTACGTGGAAAAATGTATTGTTTAATAAGTTTCTAATATATTTTCTTGATATTATTTAATAACTTACCTGAACTTTCACAGGATTGAAAGTGTTTATGGGGTATGTTAGCCCGTATACCACTTTGTCTGACTCCAGTTCAAAAGTGCCAAACAATGCGATCCCAAATAATGAGAACTCCAGCGTAATTCTTATCGATGCAATATCGATTTCGGCCTAAATTAGCAATAATTTTAACGATTGTTTCAAATTTAACTCAATATAAAGTTTAAGCTTACCGTGATGTACCCTGTGGTGACTTGGAGTATTTATTATATATTCGAGAGGACCGAGTGTATTTATGAACTGTAATATAAAGAAATTAACTGTAGCTGATATAAAAATAAGAAATCTGGACGAAAAATTGGAAGACAAATATTAATTTTGGAGTTTATAATTTGTCCTTTTCACAGCAAGGCAGATTGGATCCTTTGTAGGTTCCTTCCTGCCATAATAAGGAGTGGATTGGTGTTATAAGACAATTCAACACGTATGGTCGAGCGGTTAAGATTGCAGCTACTGCTCTGGAGTTTTTCGGGATGGTGTATCCAGATGTGTCAGACCCTATTCTTCACCACCTGGCCAAATCCATAATGGCTTAAGTGTCCACATACCCACGAACCTATTTTTAGACTCGTAAAAATTCTCCAATTAGTCTGGAAACGGGGACCCAATTCTTGCATTCTGTGAAAACGGGTAAGATTAGCTATAATGTAATCTTAATCTTAAATGTTTTCGAATAGTCGAGAACCGTTATGTGTGAGTAGTGGAGATGGCTTTTGGAGATCTGTGACCCACACGCTTCAGTTGATTTTTCATAAGTAAAAGTGTACGAATAACAGAAAAAAGTAGAAAGTGAATAGTGAAGTGTGAAAAGTAAAAATAAAAAAAAAATGCCAAAGCATAAGAAAGAATTTTTGCTGTCTCGAATCATATCTCAAAGGCAAAAGATGGCGCGGAGAAATGAAACCGCGGAAGAAAGAGAAGTACATCTAACATTGCTACGAGAAAATTATCAACGAAACAGAAATACTCGGATAGAAGAGCAACTTGAAAATTATACGGAAACACATCGAATGAGAAAGATTATGTAGAGGAAGAGAAACAGTCTTTTATGTAAAAAAAACTATATTACAGATAAATGTACGAACAAATAAAAACCCAGAGAAGCGGGTACTTGCAGCTAGTTGTTAATTGTTATTCGAGTTATAATTTTAAAATCATAGTGTAAAACTTTGAAGTTTTAAGAATTATTCTTTTGCTATAAATTGATGTATATTTATTTGTATAAATATGTAAAATATGGCGAAAAAATATCGGAATAATAATTCAAAACGACAAATAACATTACCTCATTGTGAATCCAAAACTGATAGAGCAAGTTAAATTGAACGTGTACGGCGTATATTGGCGGAGGAATGAAGAGAGCAATGGGAATATATGATATCTGGAAGAGTAAATCGATATAAATAATTAAAAAATTGCCATATTTATTTAAAGAGCCATGTTATATTTGGATTTAATTACAGTCGAGTCTCGATATACGTACACCTACCTCTAAAAATGGTAATAAATCGAGTGAGCCGCTAAAATGTAGCAGTTTCAAAGTAGGATCGTGTATAGAAATGAGGTCTGGGGTCTCGCTAAAGGAAAAAAAAGGGCCCACACTACCTTTCCGGCCCTATCAGAGGACTAGGTCGTTCTCAATTCAGAGATGAGGATAATGAAGAAATCGGGTCGTATTCTGGTCACTTCTCCGGTCTCTTTCAAGCCGGTCGCTGATTGGCTAATCCAAATGATTAGCCAATCAGCGACCGGCTTGTGAGCGACGAGAGACCAGAGACAGTGACCAGAATATGGCCCCAGTTTGTGCGCTGATATTTTATTGTTCCCGTTAGCTCTCGTTCACTCCCATGTATTGTCACAATATCTCAGCACCAAAATAATTCCGCACGAATAATATCAATCCGTATGATCTCAGCCTTAGAGAATCTTCCAGCATCTATGGATTATCTAATATTTATGTCGAAGATCCGTTCGTAAGTACGAGGAGGGTGCTATATCGAGTTTGACTGTATACCATGATTCTATAGCAAGATCATTGCTGTTATGAACTGATAGATGAATTTTTGGCTTTCAAAGTTGTAACTTTTTTTAGAAAATTAGAAATTCAAGCAATAAATAACGGTTTATTCTTTACTTTTACATCATTTACTGTATCTGTTACGAGTAAAGGCGATATTAAACGAAATAGATGCCAACACACATGAACAAAAAAACAAACACATACACACGCGTGCGGAATTTTTTCCGTTTTTTTTTACTTTTTCGGGTTCAGTGGGTCTCAGAGATTTACAAAAACTCGGAATAGCGGAAAGAAAAAAAGGAGGGATGTATTATATTACAGAGTACGATTGATAATGATAATGACCCTGTAAAATGAATATTACTATCTTTTGTTACGTTAAACACTAAAATGTATAAAGGTTAATTTTGATTTGTTAAGTTTTATACATTATAACAAAATCTCGCTTACCCACATCACGAAATCTTGTGGAACGGATTGCCTTAAAGCGGTGGATAAATTAAATTCTTCGGAACTGTGATGCACTTGATGAACGGCCCACAAAAAATGTATTTCTAAAATTAAATTTAAGTACATTTGTAAATCAAGTAAAACCATAAAAATGCAGGAACTGTTTAATATCATATACCGGTAATCATTTTCTTAATTAGCAAAGGCCTTTCACAAATCGATTCGAACGGTGGCCCACCAGTGGCCGAATGGATGAAACTATTGAACACTGGGTTCGCGCCTGGTCACGTGGATTTTTCCGAGTTTTCTTTACCTTTGTAACACCTAAATAGGAGACAATTTCCCATAAAAAGTCCTCCCGGGAGGCGTAACCAAATAAACCTATCTAAACACCCTGTACGAGATATTTCGTCCAAGTTTATGGATCCTCAAAATATATATCCAAATCATTCATTCCGTTTTATTTAAAAACTTTTAAATAAGAAAACAGCTGAAAAAATTTGTATACATGTATTTGGGCCTTGAAAAATTAAACGGCCAGGGTGTATCTTAGTCTCATAGGGCTGGATTTTAGTTAGTTACTAAACTTAACTATAGGATCTTGCATATCCTGTGTCGAAGTTCGTAGTAAACGGAATAGAGTTTAGGGAAAACGTACTGAACACCGATTTGAATGATATTTGAGTAGGATTTAATCATCCAGTTAGGATAACGCATTCAACCTGATATGTTTTACGGCGCATTGATGGTAGAGCGGCTTTAATACAGTTGAATTAGCCAGCCACGACACAGCCCTTTTCATTTAATACGGACTGTATCATTGGTTTCCTTATCCAGCTGTATTGAAGCCGCTTTACTAGGCAATGCGCTCATTGACAGCAACACAAAGGGTACACTTTATGTTGCTGTCAATGGAAATTAAACTATAAAAATAAAAATTATCATTATTTCAATACAATTTTCAACTTTTAAAGAATTATATATTACATACTAAATGAAAAATTAGAATTTATGGAATAAATATATCATTTATTGACTCTTCAATTAAATATTTGTTTAATTGTTTTTTTACTACATTTTATTCATTTAAATAATGGAAAAACGGGTGTCTCACAAGTTTAGAACCACTGGAACTACGTTGATCCTGGTTTATTCTTTTACGGATACAGCGTGGAACTAAGTAAGAAGGAAAAAATTTAAGTTATTTTGATGGAGGACCCGCAGTCAGAGAAGAGTTTAACATGCATGCTAAGGCTGCATGTTAAACTGCAAATTGTAGGCTAAATGTAAGTTTATAAGGGCGCTCACACGCAAGGGATTTATATAGACTGCAACTGAGGGCCTTGCTTTACAATTCTATATTTTAGGGCCTCGCATTTTTACGTATCATTACTTGGTTCCAGAAAAACCCTATTACATGTTACAGCTTAGGTTAGGGCCTTTCTCATAGGGTTCATGTGAAGGGCCAAAATGTAGACAAACACCAAAATAAATAAATCTCTTTGTAGGATGATAAAATTTGACAATTGACTGTATTTATTGCTATTCTGTTTTATTCTATTATTAATGATTTTTCGATTACTCTAACCGTTAAAACAAGTCAATATGACACGCAAATCAATACTTTATTCGACGAGGGGGTGTAGCTCAGTGGTAGAGTGTTCGCTTCGCATGCGAAAAGTCCCGGGTTCGAACCCCGGCACCTCCATCTGGGCATTTAGATTTTTTTTTTGTCATCCACGATAGCGATATGGAGGACTTTATAATATATACTAGCAAAATTTATCAAGTAATATCATCAAGGGATTAGAAGAAATGCACACAAAAATGGCAATTGCTGTATGTGCATAATAATTTATACGGAAAAATCATACACGAGTTTCTAAGATGGAGGGTTCCATACCAGCCGCCATCTTAATAATAATTAAATTTATCATTTTGCATATTATCGTATTTTACATTAATTCATGGTTGGGCCACTCGAAATTGGAGAAAATTTGGGTCATATAACTCAATGTATTAGTTGCAGAATAAGCCACGAACTTACGAACTTACCATGAGCGGCTCTATGGTACCAATAGAATAGAAAATCCACTGCTAACAGGCAAGACCACCACGCTGTCGTGGAATTCCAAGGTATGTCTACTAATCTCCAGTTTTCGTAGACCCAAATGTAAACACTTATTCCACCGGTAAATTTGAATAATATTCTAAAACGCAGAATGCCAAATGTTTAATTAATTTGAATACGTTTATTCTTCTCTAATTGTTCGTAAACGTACCTGATGCAATCTTGAATTATTCCTTGTGACAGAGAAGAAATTAAATCACTTACTGCCATTTTTCTGTTGTATGTTAATACAAAAAATTCTATTGTTATCGAGACGAAAAACCATGGCAAAAGCTGGAAGAGTTTTATGTTTTATCAATTAAAATAATATTAAAATATGTAAATAAGTAGTAATATTAATCTTACATCATTTAAATATGTGGGAACATTTTCCACTTCTTTATACAAAGATTCTTCGGGTGTAATAATATAAAATAAATACGAAAATTTGTTGATATCTGGGATCAAAGAATCGATCATTTCGTTTTTCTCTTTGATAAATCTACCACCTGAAAAAATAATTATATATTTTTTAAAATAGAAATAATAATTCATTTTCATGTAAAATAATTATTGTAATTTTCACAATATGCTTGCAAGAATTACAGGAAGTCCAGGATTGGACTTAAAGCATTAAATCCAAACGGAGATGATTATTAGAATATATACCGTATAGTAATAATCATCNACAGGAAGTCCAGGGTTGGACTTAAAGCATTAAATCCAAACGGAGATGATTATTAGAATATATACCGTATAGTAATAATCATCTCCGTTTGGATTTAATGCTTGCGGGTGACTGCAATTACTGCAGTTATGGAGGTATAGACATCCATAACTATTTTGTCGAAAAGCAAAATGCCTAGGGGAAAGTGTAAGAGTAAAATTGGTCAGGCAACTTTTAAGATCTAAACATATCTAAAAGAATAAGAACAACGGAGACCTCTGAATGCCGTGAAGTCCTACTTGAGCAACATCCAGTAAGAATGGCTTTGTCAAGAGTTGCAGAACGTCAAGCTTGACTTTATAGTTATATAGCCGATTTTAGTTGTTTTCATAGTGTGCAACAATTAGGTCCCCCTCTTCCGAGGCTAATTAGAGTTTTTAGATGGGTTTTAAAATATGTCCGATTTCCCGTAAAAAACGGATCTAAAATAGTAGTATAGCAGAAGCCGAGTTCTTTAAGGTAATCCTTAATCCTCCCCCTCTCTTCCACGGGGGAATTTCCAAAAAGTTCTTTTTAGTATGCATTCTCATGACGTACCCTAACTGTGTACCAAATTTCAACTTTCAACTCCTAACCGTTTGGGCTCTGCGCTTATTATTATTATGTTGGGTTTTGTGAGTTATACTCGATTGACACCGGCAGTTGTGTACTATGCCAGATCAGAGTCAAGGCATAGCAATCAAAACAAGACAAAAATTAAATAAGTGTGTCAGTGTGTGTGTGTCTGTATTTGGGAATTTCCTAACAATATGACACGAATTCAATATAGTGGCCGTCTGTAGTGTGATGTATGTGTTTCTGTTAGTTTGGCCTGTTGGAATCCTAAATACTTGTAGAACTCGCCCTCTTCCATGGATTCAATAACATCTCCATTTCCAAGTGCAAAATCTTCTTTCTTCAGGATTCCTTTTTCTATGTGAAGTGTTTTGCATTTGTCTAAGCCAAACTCCATTTGTATGTCCTTGGTGTATGAATATGTGATTTGTAGGAGTTGATAAAGTTGTTTTTGTGTGGATGCATAAAGTTTTATGTCGTCCATGTACATGAGATGTGACAGCGTAAAATGTGTTATTTTTTCGTGTCTGATATTGTAGCCATATTGCGTGTTGTTTAACATGTTGGATAATGGGTTCGGGATTAGGCAGAACCAGAGAGGACTCAAAGAATCTCCTTAAAAAGTACCTCGCCTAATGAATATTTGGTTTGTATGTATGGAAGGGTTATGAATCCTGAGATGTAGTGTTGTTCTCCAGTGCTGCATAGTGTTTGGAAGAATGCAATGAGTGATGGATGTATTTTGTACATGTGTAGAATTTGTAGCAACCAACTGCGTGGAAGACTGTCGAATGCTTTTCTGTAGTCTATATATGCCATGTGTATGTTTCTGTGTTGTTTGTGTGCTTGCCGTAGAATGGCTGAATCTATGAGTATCTGTTCTTTACATCCCCTATGATTTCTACGGCAACCTTTTGTTGTCCCGTAAGAATGTCGTGTTCTTCAACATTTTTGTATATTTTGTTCGTGATACAGGATGTCAATAATTTGTATAATGTTGGAAGACATGTAATTGGTCTGTATTGTTTGGGGTCTGTGGTATTGTTGTTTTTAGGTTTCTTGTAGGTGATGCCTTGAGTAAGAAATTTTGGCATGCCTTGTGGATTGATAATGATATGTGTTAGGTGTTTAGCTAATCCTGACGCAGTGATGCAAACTTTATTATTATTATTATCAACTCATCTCGATTATATTGTAAGATTATTATTTTTGTTAAATTTTTGCCAATAGACGACGCTACGTGTAAACCAGTAAATCAAATAAAGGTAGAAATTGATTAATTGATTTACAGAAACCCAATAGATATTTTGAGGTCGGATTAAGACATTATCTAAGTTATGTGTATATAAACGTAATTGCCGAGTTTCGTCGCAATTGGTCGAACGGCCTAGGAATGTATAGTGAACAAACAAACAAACGTCCAAACAAATTCTCAGGGAGATTTTATTTTCCAGCCACATGTTGGCTCTATCTTACAGCATGACTTTTGTAGCCACGCAAAGACCATTTTGAAACCCTCCTTTTTGGAGACCCTTCTTTTATAAACAACAAATGACACGATGGTATTACACTCGAAAAATAATCTAGTATAATTTTCGTTTTAATTTCGAACGAAAATCCATCGTAATGAGTAATGGCTATTGGTATTGTTTCATTGTATTTTTGTCAAAGCCAAATTGTTTCTAGTAATAATTTATTTAATATATAATTTCGGTACTGAATAAATTAATTTTCTGCAGAAATGAAAAGTTTCTAGAAAGCAAACATTAGTCTGTGACATACATTCGCACGGACAGGAAGCGCAACATATAATTTTCAGGTGTTGATTAATGATTGAACGATTACAGTGGCATCATGATGACTAGAACGTGACAACATTAATTTTTGAATTTTTGAATTAAATTATAGGCACTAATATCCGATTGTTTTATCTTACTGTATTTACTTTTATACTATTTTTTATATCGATATTAAGATTTAGCATCCTTAAAAGATTGCGGTATTCAAGGAGGGACCAAAGAAGATCGGGAGAAAATTTTAGGAGCGACGTTTTACTTCGTGCAATAAAATGACAATTATAGACCTATTTGAAACAAAATTGAAAATTAATTATAGAACGCAGCAACGAATGACAGCATAACCCTGAATTATTCAAATACATTCAGTACTACTTAAAAATTTGAACACGAAGGAGAAAAGAAAGTAGTAAAATTAATTATTTAGATATAACAATAATCCGGAATAGTAATAGAGGAGAAGGTGGTATTATGGAACACTGCGGATATTGTGGAACCACCCCATTTCGAACCGATAATAAAGGCGAACTGTAGCAAACTGTGGCCGAACCGAACTAGGCAGACATCCCACAGCGAGGGGAAAACCCGTTTTACTTCAGTTAAACAGTTGTCCGTATTTAATTGGCAAATTTGTTTTTTTCAAAATTCGCAAGTTTTGAATGCTAAGCGAATTTAATTATTTTTAAAATATAAATCGTGTAGTTGTAGGTTCACCGGTGCACGTATTCCGTTCCAGAGACTTAGGGGTACGTATTAATCTATGTGATTTTCACGTTTTTAAAGTTTGGTGCCGACAGGAATTAAGTTAACCCAAGACGGAGACACGCGAAATACGGACCCCATCGATGCTTTTAATACGGAACCCAACTCCCCCGGTGTTCGGTATTACCAACAAATTCAAACCATAAAATAACGTTTTTTACGTTTTATTTTATTTACGAAAACATTTTTTTAATTTAAATACTATCTTAACGAGAAATAAAATGTAAGATAACAATCGAAATAAACATTTTTTTCATGAAAAAAAAAATATCGTCTGCTTACAAAATAGCGAAACTGAGCACGCGCGAAGTGAGAGTATCGTCTGGTAAAGTAAATAGTCTACGAGTAAGTTAAAACTTTTATGTTTATTTATTTGAAAAATAACAATAAATGTAGCAGTTGTGATAAATGGGCACACCGTTCTTGCGCCAATATTGAAGCGATGATGACTTGCCTGGCTTTAAAGATGACACTGCTTGTCTGTTTGCAGACGATAGTCATGGGGAGGTGTGGGTGCAATGCCTAATGTGAGCTATGCGATCACATTAGGCATTGCACCCACACCTCCCTTCTTCTTCGTACATTTCTGTATTACTATTAAATCATTTTTGCGTTAAAATACATTGGAGTAAATGATTTTGTAATTATTTAACGTTCTTTGTACTTTCCAATAGTAGTGGTTTGAGTGGCACTAATCACAAAATTAATTTCAGATGTCAATTAAATTAAAATTTCAAATAAAAATTTGTCGAATGGAG